ATACCGGATGATATTTCGGCGTAACATTCGTGCCCGATCATCCGTACCTTTCACATAAGCTGCTACCATTAAAGCTATACTATAAAGTAATATATTTAATCAAATCAAATATAATTAATTACTACTTTTTTTTCTCAATTCTAGAATAATTACTTTTATGGCAAAACTTCGTTTCTCTTTTTTTGGTATTTCGATTAACAAAAAAAAACCAACTTATCAATGTAACCAATATTTACGAAAAAATTGTTCCATCTAGATAAAACGATTGTAACAAAAAAGCCAAGCATAAAATTTAATGGAATATAATCCAATTTTTCATCACAATAATGTACGAATTGTTCAAATTTACTAAAACAAATTAAATTAGTGATAAAAAAAAATATAAAATTTCAACCTTGAAATATAAAATAAATTGAAATTACAGCTAAGCTTTATAATGATTCTAACAATAAGTAGCATTATAATAAGTTGTTTAAATTGAATTTTTTTTTTTTTTTTGAAAAGTGAAGTATTATTGTTCACTTGGTAACATAAATTTTCTCAATATATCTATTCAAATTGAAATTATCAAAAACTTTTCATGTGAACATTAGCAATCTAACAAAATTTTTTAAATTTTACTATTTATTCATTTTTCCTAAAATAATCATTTAACCTAAAATAACCCAAAACTTTTTCCAAAAAAATTAAAACCCTAAATAATTTCTTTTTTTTCTCGTAAATAATTGAAATTAAATATTAAATTTTTATACATTCAATTTTTTGTTTAATAATATATCATAGAATTATATACATATATATATATGATATACCTTATTTGTTCATTAGTTAAAGCAACACGATATATCAATGATATTACAGCAAATAATATTAGCCAAACAAATAACTCAAGTGTTATCGATTTCCATATACTACCACGCCATCGAAATAAAAGTTTGAATAATGTCCAAGGTCGTGAAGTTGATACATCCAAGTTATATTGAACAGTCATTCCCTGTAAAATTAACATTTATTAAAATTATCAATGATTGTTACCGCTCAACGATTCTAAACGAATTTAACTCATCCTTCTTTTTTTTCTAATTCTTTACCAAAAATTTTCCATCATTAATCATACTTTTTTATTCCACCTTTTTTTTCGCTTTTTTAAAACAAGAAATGGAAAACATTTAATGAGAAGAAGAGGACAATTTATGTGTTCATGTGTTTGTCCTCAATTTTCTCATCATCCTTTTTCAACAACTAAATTTCTATCGCTAATTTTTTTCTTTCTTTTGCTAATTTTATTAAAAATTATTTTCTTCGTTTTTTCTTTTTCTTTTCTTTTTTTTTTTTTTTAAATTTACACTATGTCATCCATTTTATACTGAACTTTTTATTGTATAGATTTCAACAATTTTTCTCGATTCTTTTTAATCAATCATTAAGTATTGATAAGAATTTTCAAAAGGCAATATATTCCTTTATACATTTCTATTGATTGATTAAGTTGATCAAATTCTCGTCGTATAGAGATGCGGGAAGAGGAAAGGTAGGGATAGGTATCATCAAGTAAAGTTTACTTATGCTAAATTTATTAATCATTCAAAAATTTCAGTTAAAACAAAGAAAAAAAAAGATAATTTAATCAAATAAAAATTTGAACTTGACAGTAATTTAATAAAATTATTGTCAAGTTCAAATTTCTATTTGACAAAAGTAAGTTAAAATTGCATTTAAATTGCATTTAATTTGTTCTTTTTTTTTTCATCCAACAAATATTGCCATTAAAATTTAACAAAAAAAAAAAAAAAGGAAAAAAGTAATTGAAATTAATAGCTCAATTTATAATTGGAAATTTTGTTGATGAAGAAATACAAAAAAAAAAAAAAAAAAAATTGTACATTACAAGAACATTTTATGTGGTAAAAATAAATAGTGCTTATAAATTTGTATAACCATTGAGAAAGATTCATTTCCCTACTTGTCTCGTATTTCTAGATTTTCAAATAACCCTCCCTATTTCACCTTTCATCCACTTTTCTTGTTTCTTTCTTTTTCACTCCTCTGTTTCACCCATCTTTCATTCCTTGCTTTCTTGCTATTGAAAATAGGAGACAATAAACACATTTTCCATTCCTGTAATCTTTTGACAAAAAAAAAAAAAAAAAAAAGAAAAAAAAGTAAAATAAATAAATAAATAAAAGTAATAGAAGCATATTTTTCTTATTATTCTCCTAAAAGAATTATCGTTTTCTCCATTTTTCTTACAAACTTTTCAGCCTTAAAAAAAAAANAAAAAAAAAAAAAAAAAAGAAAAACAAAAAACAAAGAGTAATTTAAGTTATGATAAATCAAAAAAAAAAAAGGACAAAATTTAAAACAAAAAAGTTAACGAATATTTTTGTAATTTTCAATTTAAGATTTCCAAAATAAAAAATTGCAAATATTTAACATTTTAATAAATGTTTTCAAAATAATAATACAATGAACAAACCTATCATTAGCTTCGTGTAATATTTTATTTTAGTTTTTCCTATTTACAAGGAAAAAGAAATGATAGAAAGTTGGTTGACAAATTGATTGGGACACAAATTGAACAAATTCTAGTTTCAATTAAAAAATAAAAATAATTAAAACAAAAATAAGGAAATCAAAAAAAAAAAAGGATGAAAGTATATAAAAAGATAAGTTAAAGTAAGCGGAAATGATTGCTTTTTACATTCACAATACTATGAATTACTATTTCACTTACTTTGTTCTAGAAGTATGCCTTACTTCTAACAAAAAGTAAGTGAAATGGGCATTTTTTTTTTTACGACAAATATCAACTGTTCGTTGACTTATTCTCATTTTTTAATACAATTTTAAATAGAATTTTAATTCACATATTTCTACTAAATACAGAGAATTGCAAATGATTTTGCATAATTTCAATAAGAGAATATGCTAAGATATTAAATTACTTGAATTATTAAAAAAGAAAAGAAGAAATGATAATTTAGGAGTATTAATACTGATCACTACCTATTGATCATACTCGATTTAGGAGTGTTACTACTGATCATATGTGAGTGTTGCTATTGCCACTATCTATTGACCATATTTGATTCAGGAGTATTACTTCTGATCCTATTCGATCTTTTTGATCATAAAAAGTCGATGATCATATCCGAAGTACTGATTTCCTGATCATTTAAATTAATAATACTGATATATTGCTTGGAAGAAAAAGAAAGAAAAAAGGAAACATTGTTTAGATAGTGCAAAAATTTCAAATCTGACACTTCATTAATTGATATCTACTCCAAAAAATGGAGTAGATAAATGGAATAGATGGTTCATTTTTTCGGAGTGGAATGATATTGCTGCTTGTTTTCGAGTATTTGTTCATCGGAATAAATAATGGGTGATAGTGGTACCGTATTCACAAAAGTACAATGAACTTCAAATTCAGCAATAATGTTGAATCATATACCACCATCATTTACCGTTAACGAATTACTTAAGAAAGAAAGAAGGAACTGTCAAAAAATGGGTAGAGTCACAAAAATATAAACTGAAAAAAAAAAGAAAATAAGTCAGTAATAGTCCAATGTTATGTGAATTTGAGTAAAAGAGAAAAAAAAAGAAAGGAAGAGTAACGTTTTTCAAAAGTCAGTCAAGTATTTCAAGGAAACAGAAGAAAAAATCCTAAATGAATTTTGGAGAGTGTTGATTGACCGAAAGTTAAAGATACATTTAAACTATTTAACCCTCCACATTAAAAAAAAAGAAATTTCTGCAGAAAAATCAAAAAAAATAAATAAATGAATGTGTTTCATTTTTAATGTAAAGTATAATTTTGAAAAGGTACAGTAAAATTTAAAAAAAAAAATGAAAAAGATAAAAACATCAATATATTCGTCACAAAAAAAAGGCTCAATGTCAAAATAAATGAAATGAATAAGAATTGAAAATTGTACATAAATGAGACATCAACAGAGTGACATTTGGAATGGAAAAAAAATGATAAAAATAAAAAAATTTCATAAAATTTATATAAAATTAAACAAAATGTAAGAAGAAGAGGGAGAAGGAAAAAGAATGTCATGTTTTTTGAAAAATAATGGACAAATGAAAGAAATGAAAATTACCAACTTTACCTGTTTTCTTCCTCTTTCCGGTATCGCTTATCTTTCGTCACTGCTCCTCACGTTGACACCTTCATCACAATCATGTAAATAACAATAATGGTAATATCCCAAACATCATATCATATCAGTGAATGGAAAGATGAAAATTGAATGGTTGTCTCATTCAGTTTTTTTTTTTTTTACCCTATAGTAATTCTTGACTGATACATACATTTGCACAGAATGATCAAAAATCATCAATGAAATATGAGAGAGAAAATTGTAAAAATTATTATTACGGATTTAAAATTCCTGCAATTTGGGGAAAAAAGTGTTATCCAAAAGTTTTAATAACACTTTATAAAAGTAATTGATAATAGCATCAATGATTATTCGAGATGGAAGAATTTTTACTATTGTACGGTGCATGTTGAATGAATCATAGTGGAGCTGATAAATAATACTGCAAATAATATATTAGTAAACAGTGCAACAAAATGAATTCATTGAATAATGTGAGATAATGATCAATTAGGTAAGTTATATGGCAATTTCTAATTCTAGTTCCAACTTGTACACTAGCACCGCATTATTTTGATTTCGATCCAGCCCTGATCTATCCAATACATTGGCTGATTTTGGTTGCGATGCAGTTCCATCTGTAACGCTAGCTTGCTTATTCTGGTTGTGAACTGGATCACAACTGGATGAACTGATCCAGTTCCATCTGTAACGCTGGCTTGGTTATTCTGGTTGCGACCCGGTTCCATCTGTAACGCTTGCTTGCTTATTCCGAGTTCAT